TCACCACCAATATTTTTAAATTAGGTATGATTGGCTACCAATGAATCTATCTTCTTAAGGAGCTCCTAAGCTTAACTAAGGGTTCCTAAAAGAATAGGTTCATGTCTACTAACTAGAACATAGTTCAAAAGTTTGGTTATATGTAAGGAAGGTTAGTACCCCCACATGCCTATAAAAAAGATGGTACCATTTTATTTTAAATTTATCCTAGGGTCTTGATTATAATGGTTTCAAATTTTTATGTTAAATATTGAAAATAATTCTTAAGACTCTCCATCAATCTGACAAAATTCTTAAAAATATTTTATCATCTCAAAAGTATTTAAGAATTCCATTTGTTTTCTTAGAGAGGCTCCATCATTGAAAATTTTTTTTTGTTAGTTTTATTTTTTTAATTTTTTTGTCAAAAATATATCTAATTATTCTACCATTTGGATTAGATTAGAAATATCTTTTTTTTTTAATTTCTAAATTTTTTACTATTTTGGTCTATTTAAAATTTTTATTTATTTATTTATTTATTTTTCTACAGACAATAATATGACAATTATTTTTCTTGAAACTTCATTTAAATTCTTCCACCATTTGAGACAATTTAAAGAAATTTCTCACCTAAAAATTTCTTAGGAATTTACCATTTGAAATTTCTAAGAACTTCATCATTGGATAATTATCAAATCTTTTCAACCAAATTTGAAAAAGACTACAATTACTTTTATTGAAATTTCATCTAAATTATTCCGTCATTTGTGACAAGTTTAGAGAAAATTTTTTACCTAGAAATTTCTTAGAAATTTACTATTTAAAATTTTTAAGAATCTCATCATTGGGTAATTTGTATTTAATTCCAAAATTTTTATTAATATTTTTTTATTTTTTTGTTTGAAAATAAATATTAATTATTGTTATTGAAATTTTATCTAAATTATTTCACCATTTAGGATAAATTTAGACAAAATTTCTCACTTAAGAATTTTATAGAAATTTACTATTTGAAATTTCTAAAAAATTTCATCATTGGATAATTTATATTTAATTCCAATTTTTTTATTAATATTTTTTATTTTTTATTTTTTGTTTGAAAATAAATATTAATTATTGTTATTGACACTTTATCTAAATTATTTCGCTATTTGAGATAAATTTAGTCAAAATTTCTCACCTAAAAAGTTTATAAAAATTTACCGTTTGAAATTTTTATAAATTCCATCATTAGATAATTAATACTTATTTTCAAAGAATATTTTATTTTTTCTATTTTTTATTTTTTTCAAATTTAATCAAGCAAAAATACTAAAAAAATAAACATATAAATAAAATACTAAATAAAAAATACAAAAAATAGAAATGGCTTGGCTAGAGAAGCTTGGCTTTAGACACAAAAAACGGCTCGAAGGCGTGGCTCGACTCGGTTGAAGGAGTTGACTGAAACGCGGGTCGACAAAAGCAGGTTGAGCTTAGGTCGGGTCATCCCAATAAAAAACACAAAAACAATTGAAACTATGTTTTGGATCTTTTTAAGGCAAAAATGACGTCGTTTTGAAGTCAATATAAAAAGCTGTATTCCTTTTTTTTCATCATATTTCTCATTTCTCCCTTTCTCTACTCCTTCTTTTCTTTTCTTTTTTCTCTAGAACATGATGAACTATAGTTGAATCTTAGTCAGATTCTGAAAAATATCATCGAAATTTGGGTTAGTTCACCGAAAGTTCGTTGAAAAATTTAATCGGCGTCAAAATTTTCGATCGGATTATGAAAAACCTACCAAAAAATTCAACCGACACTAAAAAGTTCACCGAAAAATTCAACCAGCGCCAAAAAATTCAACCTAAAATTAGAAATTTTCCAAAAAAAATTTTTGCCCAAAAAAATTCCTACAAAATTTTGAATGCTTTTACATATGCTTTTCCTGATTTCTATGTTTTTGTGTCTCTTTCTCTCTCTTCCATTTTTGATCTGTCATCTATGTGTTTATGTGGGGGCATATATTTATAGGGTTTTGATCAAAAAAATCCTATACCCGAACAAAAATCAATTCCCTTTTAATTTCAACTTTAATCTTTAAATTCAATTTAAACTCTTCACTCACACAATTTACACAAATTCAATCTACCATATTTTTTTTTTTCATTTTTTTTATTTTTAGTTTTTTAATTAACAAAAATCAGATTGAATAGAATCTCACAAATTGAAGTGTTTACGGTGCTGAACATTCCTGGAAAATGATGGAAGCATTAGAAAAGAATGACCAAAACATTATAATTTGTCAGCTATATTGTAAAACAATAATGGCAATACAAGGTACTAACCAACTTTTAAACAAAAATTTTCTGCAATACTTGATGCATTAGACTAGACATACAAAAAGTGACATGACCATTGCAAACAGAAAAAATTTAACTGTACCTGGTGTCATGCTTAGCTCTAACATCCGAGACAGCATCTTCTTTTGTAAAACCAATAGCTGTTTCCACCAGTCTTTTGATAAAAGGTCACACCTCCTGCGATAAGATTAATCTTAGCCCGAAAAACCAAAAGAATAAGTATAATAAACAACAGGATTCAATACAGAGTGACAAATCCAACAATTCATAAGAGTTCAACAAAAAAACTGCATTCTCATTGGACCATATTTTATGATTGTATTTGTGATGACTAAAATTTTCCTTATTATCATAATCATGTCTTCCAATTGGCTAGTGCACAAGTTGAACATATTAAGAATAATTTGAAATGCCTTAAAAGGAAGGATAATAAATAGAACACTCGTTCACTAAGAAGATTATTTGGTGTATATAACCTGTTTTTGGTGACAGCTAGAATTGGTTTATACCTTAGTTTCTACTGGTGAGTATAGTTTCAAACTTTCAATCAAACACTCTTCCTAGTTTGCATACTAAAACAACTAATACCCCATAAGGATGATTATTTCTTATGCCAAAATGTGTAAAAAAAATCTATGTGTTTTCTCCAATATGTAATATAGAGAGCCGGCTACAGCAACATTAACTTCTATTAGCAGTCATTATGTTTGAGAAAGAGGATGACAGTAAAATAAACCATGTTTACCTACCCATGTAAATTTCCCATGCGAGCCCAAGCCAGGAAAGCAGGTCCACCACAGAAATCATTCAAATCTTTCATGCTAATATTAAAACCCTAGAAATTAGAAGCCAATTCTCAATGATATAAAGTAAACTGAGTCCATTATGCACAGATAATATTAACACGAGAAAACTGATAAGGTTGTGACCTCTATGTGCTAATCAAGATGCTTAATAACATTAAAAGTTCTTCACCATGAAAACTCTTTGCCAAATGGCTTCTTGTCCTGTAAATGCCCAAGGCAGGTTGATTCCTTGGAAAGCCATCCAGTCTGTCTCTTTCTCCCATCTTTCTCATCCCACCAAACATATGAATCAGCAGGGAAGGATGTGATATTACAGGGATTAATATATATGATCAACATCATGCAATGTCTAAAACTATATACCTGTTTTTATCATCTTGTTCCTAGTGTCAATCACTTGTTAGTTTTTAGGATAAGGCTTTTTTTTTTTTTTTTTGGTGCAAAAGGGGCACTGCCCAGTGTAGGATAAGGCTTTAAGTACCCTAAAATACACTAAAATTACACTCTATTCATAAAATAACCTAAAACCCACCATGGTGAATGGCAATGAGTGAAGGCTGGAACAAAGATTCCATACTTACAACTAGAAGTAACAACATTTTGGTAATAGTTCCATGGTACCGGCTGTTGAATCAGCACACCCCCATCTTTTACAACGGGGAATGACCGTGGCTTGGGAACAGAGGTTATCTGCAAATCACCAGTCTTGTCCCAAGATACATGAGCACCACAGAAATATTTGATATACCAGTGGAGGCCAGATGCAATTTCAACTGCTGTGGCACCTTTAATTCTGGAAGAGGGAAAAAAAGCAACCAAAATTCCAAAACAGAAAAGTAAACATTTCCCTATCTTCATAAACAGAAGCAAAAAAAGAAGAAAGAAGACAATTTCAAGCCCTTTTCATATCCTAATAATCAGGAATAACTTTATCCATGCTGCAGGTTACGATAACTACTAAGAATTGAGAAGGTTTCCCTTTGCCTAAAATCAACTAAAAGAAAATTAAACATGGTTAAAGTTAAAGGGTAAAACTTTAAGTCATAGAAGTTTCTGAAAAATACACATGGACATAACAAGATATGCACCCTCACACTCAATAATGATGAAACTATAATCTTAAACAAGAAGTGATTTGTGCATCCATTATCTGGGGTCCATCTTGGCTAGAGCGATTGTAATTTTCTATCAGAAAGCAACCTTGTCCACAACAAACCTACTGATATTTGGAAGTGAAAACACAAACTGTCAAAGATAGTAACAATAAGAACAACTTATAAGGTTGCAGTTATACTAATTTTCCCTTTAAGACGCCAATAACCCATTCTTCCTTTAAGTGGTCTTACTTTAAAGGTGTTAAGAAACAACAACAGTAACAAGCAAAGCAAACACAGTTGAAATAGAATTCTACTACCTTGAAGACAATGCTAAAGTGAAAACTGTGAAAATAGGCAGGGAGCAATCTTCCCAAAACGGATTTAGCGGCTGATTCTTGAACAGATGGAGATGAGCGTTTTGAATCTAACCGTGTGACTTTTGTCTCCACTGCTTCTGTTGTTGAAAGGGCTGTGGCAGTCGCGTGAGAAACAAGATGAAGACGATTACTACATCGAAAGGGCAATTAGCAATGCTGATTTTCATTGTGGGAATTCTTCAGAATTGTGATTGCCACGGCCAATCTTTCCAAATTAACCAAGGCTTTAGCTTGCTTCACCGTCACGGTGTTGTTTATAAGAGAATCCAACGCCAACGGTCAAAAGTCAAAGAGTCAAATACTTACACGAGCGTTACGTCCGTTTAGTGCGGCGCTTTTAACGCTACTTCTGGCAGTTATCGTAAAACTAAACTAAATAAAAAAATTTTAAAAAGTGTTTTCTTTTGAGGGTTATAAAATCGAAGGGCTAACCTATGTCCAGTTAGGTCAGCCGGACCCACTTTCAGTGGATCTCACCACGGCACACCACCGCCCCTTAAACCCCCCAAAACCCTAAAAATTTCCCCATTTCCATTTCCCAATTGGACAGAAACAGCCCCGCAAACCCTAAATCCTCCTGAAACAACCGAATCTCCTCCCGAAGCCTCTAAATTGTTCACAGCAGACAAAAAATGGAGATGGAAAGAGAGCAGGGAGAGATGGGGAAAAGCGTGATGTGCGTATTAACAGACCCCGAAGGTACCACTCTGGGCGGCACCATGTATCTTCCCCAAAACGTCGGTCCTCTTCAGCTTCAACAGATCGTCAATACCCTTCTTAAAAATGTAAGCTTTGTTGTTCTAATTATTTCCAACTTGTTAATTTTTGTCTTTCATGTAATTTACATTTGATGCATTTATTCAAAGTTTTATATCATTTGCTTGCATATAGTTGGTGGAATTATTCAAAATTAGTTTCTTGTCATCAAGCTTTATAATAAAATCCTACTAGAGACCGAAAAGTGATGAACTTTACTATTTGGGTTTCTTCAGGAGGAGAAGCTACCATATGCATTTTATATATCTAATCAAGAGCTTCTTGTGCCACTTGGAACTTACTTAGAGAAAAATAGAGGTCAGTTTAGGAAGTGATGAAAGTGAATTTCTGACAGTTATGCTTCTACTACTTGATTCTTTTATGTTTCTCAATATGCTTAATCTTTTATTGGCTGGTCAATTTGGCTCTACAAATTTTCAGTTTCCATGGAGAAAACACTATCAATAGTTTATCAACCACAGGCAGTTTTCCGGATTCGGCCAGTTAATCGCTGTTCAGCTACAATTGCTGGTATGAGATTGATTTATTTTTGCTGTGGAAAACTTAATATCATGAATTTTGAAATCTTTGCTTCACATGCTATTCTTCATTTTTTGACAGTACATTGTTGTCTGAGATCTGAAATTTCTTGTGTACCTTGTTTGTTTTATTAAGATGCTCAAGTTATTTTGGAAAACCTTCTTTTTTGTTACTATTGCCTCCACCAAAATTTTTGTTTGTGTTTATTTTGATTCTGTGATAGTGTTCTGATGGTGCAGGGCATGGTCTTGTTACTTATCTATTGTTGGCCTATTTAACGTCCGAGAAAACAAAATTCTTGTCTAGGATTGTCTGTCCATGGGCTTTTGATATGATAATATGATTAAACCATAAAGAAATCAATTTCTGGTTCAGACTCTGCCAATTTTGCTCTCTAAAAAGCATTTTCATTAGCTTATTAAGAAGCCAATTACTTTATGTGTTTCTTTATATGGATTCGTTAAGAGTAAAATAGTTTACTAGCATTATCTTAGTATCATTCGATTGGTTATCTTAAATCTTTGTTTTTGCTTTGCTACAATAGGTCATACTGAAGCAGTACTTTCTGTTGCATTTAGTCCTGATGGCCGACAGTTGGCAAGTGGCTCAGGTGATACCACTGTCCGACTATGGGACCTAAATACCCAGACACCAATGTTTACATGTACAGGTTAGAAAATTCTGACTTGATATTTTTTTCTTAGTCAATTTTGCTGCTAAGTTGTGGATAACAGAGAACTATTTAAGCATATAAACAGAATTAGAAAAAGACATGCCATGTAACATTACATTCATGTTATTGTCATTCTTCACTTCTTAATATTAATCATATGTCTTCTAATTTTATTTAGGACACAAGAATTGGGTTCTTTGTATTGCATGGTCACCAGATGGTAAACATCTTGTAAGTGGTAGCAAATCTGGAGAACTACAATGTTGGGACCCACAAACAGGGAAGCCTGCCAGCAATCCACTTACAGTAAAGTTTTTAATTTTGAATAACTATATTTTTTATTCATAAAATTGTATAGTTTCTTTAAACTGAAACTCTTTGTCTAATGGATTTGGTCAAAAACAATGGAATACTTTCCTTTTTATTTAGTCAATTGTCTTACTCATATTATCTCTGGTGATAATATTTGGATTCTGCACTAGGGCCACAAGAAATGGATCACCGGCATCTCATGGGAACCTGTCCATCTAAATGCTCCATGCCGTCGCTTTGTAAGCGCTAGCAAAGATGGTGATGCCCGCATATGGGATATTTCCTTAAAGAAATGTGTTATTTGTCTCTGTGGCCACACACTTGCTGTAACTTGTGTGAAATGGGGCGGAGATGGAGTCGTATATACAGGGTACAATTTTATTCTGTTTAGGAATGGCATAGAAATAATTATACTTTCTGTTATTCATTCCATTTAAACTTTAACTGCTGAGTAATGATCTCTTTTGTCAACTGCCTGAAGTTCCCAGGATTGTACTATCAAAATATGGGAAACTTCCCAAGGGAAGCTAATTCGTGAATTGAAGGTAACTTCTTGCATCTGCTAGGGCATCTCTTTTGTACATCTATACATTGAATTGCAACTGCATATACTCTGAATTTCATATAACAGCAATTCATTTACGTATGCTACTTGTTCTAGGGTCATGGGCATTGGGTTAACTCCCTTGCATTGAGCACAGAATATGTTCTTCGCACTGGAGCTTTTGATCGTACTGGAAAAGAATATTCATCTCCAGAAGAAATGAAGAAGGTAGTAGTTACTTATTTGGTGTCACAATGTCCTATATCAATAAAAAAAATCATCTTTGTAATTCTACTCTCTTTCTCCGCAACTACTACTATATTTTTTCCCCCAATGTTGCCATAATAACTGGTTGAGTGTTGTATTCAAGCTTCCTGCTCTCTATTCTCTTCTTTTAGAAAAGAAATTATGTTTCCTTGCTTATAAAATGTAGGTTGCTCTAGAAAGATACTACAAGATGAAGGGCAATGCCCCAGAAAGATTGGTATCAGGATCTGATGATTTTACCATGTTCCTTTGGGAACCTGCTGTCAGCAAACACCACAAAGTTCGCATGACTGGTCATCAACAGGTACACCTTAACTGCTGCTACTTTGTCTGATTGCAATCGAAGTAGCTGAATTTCTTCATGCTTAAAAGTAACTTTGCACTTTTGGTTGGTTGCTTCCAGCTTGTAAACCATGTTTATTTCTCACCTGATGGGCAATGGGTGGCTAGTGCATCATTTGATAAGTCTGTCAAGTTATGGAATGGTACTACCGGAGAATTTATTGCTGCATTCCGGGGTCATGTTGGGCCTGTTTATCAGATCAGGTTTTTGCTATTTCTATAGTTTGTTACCATGTCTGATGTTTCCTTTCTCTTATTTCCCATGGTTAATAATCACCTTGTGTGTTGCCCTTCAGCTGGTCCGCAGATAGTAGGCTTCTTTTGAGCGGGAGCAAAGACTCCACCTTGAAGGTAAATCTAGGAGTTGTTTCACCTTTTTTTGGTGTTGAAAGATCCTGATCGATGGTTGAGATTGTTTGTTTGGCATTATTTTTGATAAACATACTTAATGAACCAAATCAAAGTTAGCTTTTTTTTGTCCTTTCTGACTTGGTGGATTGATTGCTTTTGTTTTGTCATGGGTAGTATTGACATCCTTACCTCTTTCAACCTCTGCTACATATCTATCCTTCCTGGCTTACTTTCCCTCAGAACACCCCCCCCCCCAACACACACACATGCCAACACCAACCCCAACCCCAATCCTCTCAAACTCCTGGTTCTTTCCTTCAAAAAGAAAATGTTTCTTTTCTCTTTTCATTATATTATGCTTCTTTGATTGGAGCCTTGGATGGAATGGTAATGTTCTTTTAATAAGAATGCTTCTTCTCTTCTAATGAGGCCTAACTAATATATCATTTTCAAGGTTTGGGATATTCGAACAAAAAAATTGAAGCAAGACCTTCCAGGCCATGCAGATGAGGTAAGTTCTCCATACTAGCAAGGCATCATTGATATCCGTTTGCTGAGATATACTGGTGAGTAATCCTCATCCACGTTATCCTTTTGTATAGGTTTATGCTGTTGATTGGAGTCCAGATGGTGAGAAAGTTGCCTCTGGTGGCAAGGATAGGGTGCTGAAGTTGTGGATGGGCTAGAAGTGCATGTTGGAAAATGGTTGAAATGTTAAATATGCAGTGGTTTCCATCAATGGCAACACATTGGGTCGTATAGGATCTGTGATGTAACTACAACAAACCAGGAAATACAGAATCAGTTTTGGCTGATTGGTAGAGGAGCAACTTCTCTGTGCAGCCATTGCTCATGGTATTCAGGATTGCTTGGTGGTTGGCTGTCACCATATACAAGCTGTACGGATACATTGAAACCGATCTAGTGTCTTATTTGAAGTGTAAAATAGCCTACTGCTAAGGTAGATTCTTTTTTTATGTTGAGTTTATATTCCCTGGTGTTATAGATCTCCTTTTTCGCTCAAAAATCTGGAACAAATAAAGAAGGAAAATGAATAACTTAATTCAACCTACTACGAAAAGAAGTAAATGAAAACTGAAATTTCTAACACAACCCTAATGCTTGGAATTCAGTCCACAAGTAGCTGAAGGTTGAGACGCGCTTATTACGAATTACAAAACAAAGAGTATATGCCAGAATTAACATGTTCCAACAACACGGAGCATTAGAATGAAGTAACGATTCAGATGCTTAAAAAGCCTTTCTCCCTCAAGCTTTCAATGGTTTCCCTCAGACTCACCTCCCAGGGAATGAAGCTGAGATCCAAACTTTTTGCTTTCTCCTTCGATATCTGGAAATTACGCTCAACAGGCTTCTTGCTATGATCTTCGCATCTGTCATGAATGGAAGACAACATGACTTTTATCAGAATTCCATAATCAAATAATTTTCCGGGTAGAGAAGTACAACTCTTTAAGTCTCAAGACGACTACCACTTTTAATAGCTTTTATTTTTACCCTTTAAAAGTTTCAATCATGCATTGCTTACTAAATAGCAAGATGACGCGATTGCTTACTTTTGTTGAAGGCCCAAAGTAGGATAAAGTTCATTCAAAGTCTTCAGAACCTCCGAAACGTGTACAACTCTTTCAACTAAGCAATATCTGCCGGTAGCTGAAGGGATCTCAAACGCTTGAATATGTGCATAAGCAACATCTCGAACATCAACAAATCTACAAGTTGAACTTGGGAAAGTATGTTCTCCTGTATCCAAAAGATTTTAGATTTTCTTACAACAGAAATAGCACAGATTAAAAACCCCTTGGAAGGTCTAGTAGCAATTAGAGGTTTGAGGCCATTGGTTGGTTCAACATTGTCTAGAAGGTGACTGGATGGACCAATTAGTATGAGATGAAAGGTGCTTGAAATTTAAACAAAAAAATCCAAGAGAAAGAAAATTTGTGTATCATCCTCAATAGGTTAGAAGAAAAGTACCTTTTGTGAGGCCTAGAATCACTTCTGATGTGGTATTTAGAGCTGGCTGTAAAAGAGGACCAACCACAAATCCTGGATTAACTACAACCAAATCCATCCTATTATCTTTTGCAAACCTCCAAGCAGCTTCCTCAGCTAAAGTTTTAGATGCCATATACCAAAGCTGGAAAAACCGAAGATTGTGAAGAACTAGTACTTTATCATCATCTAAAAATAAGTATATTTCAGTTTATCATAAAGTAAATCATAATTTCATTAGAGCATAAGGTCGAAAAAAGACAATAGAAATCAGAGACATCTAAATTTTGACAGCAAAATTGTAGTAATTAATGATCATGTATAAGATTTACAAGGAATTTTGATCTTTGACTATATATCAAACTGCAGTTTAATTAGAAACCTTCCTCCAAGAACATGAATTCAAATTTCTCCTATTAGATACATAAATCGAATTAGAAAGATGGTATAACTGAGAGAATCTTGAAAAGAATATATACTACTATTACCTATGATGGTATAAACAAATAAGGGATACTCATTCGCAGGACATATCATAAAGAAATTAGCAGAAGTATGGCCACACCTTATTTTTCTCACAAAAACGTGGATCTGAAAACCAAGTCTCATCAACCACCACATCAGGAGTCAAAGGTTTTCCGTTGTACAGAACCGAGGCCATGGAAGATGTTATGACAACTCTCTTGATCGAAGGAACTTTTGCACATGATTTAAGAATATTGAGTGTTCCCTTGATTGCTGGATCAATTATTTCTGCCTGAAATTGGCAAAAGCTTAAACTTTTTGCATAAAATTTAATGACAATAAAGTAAATAAAGTGGTCATCATCTTACGACTTAGGATCAAATCACCTATGGTTTAACCATATAGCAAAACTCTATCATGTTACATGGATTCATCATTAGTACATAAGTGAGTTGTATTTGTGATGGAGTCCAAAGTTCAATTAGCATATAATTGAAATATACAAGGATTCATCATCCTTTCTTCCCCTTAACTAGGTTCCCACATCCGGCATATGATGTTTCATTTACTTAAGCCGTGGTCCAATTAAGAACAATACAAAGTGAAACCAAAATCACAGGAATTACAAAGTGGAAAGTTAGAAGGAAGGACCTGTGGGTCAGTAGCTGAAAGGACAACAGGGGAGGCTGTATGGAAAACACCTTGGCATCCATCCACTATAGAGTCATAACATCCTTCATCCACCAACTCTGCCTTGAAGAAATGAAGTCTTTCCTTAGCTCCATCAAGTGAAAGCAAGTGTTCTGTCTTCTTCGGATCATCTGTTGTTGCAGTGTTCAAACATAAAATTAAGTTGAAAACAGAAGAAAGAAAGAAAGAAAGAAAGAAAGAGGATTGCAACTGACTTGGGTCTCGAACAGTGGCTCTAACAGTGTAGCCACGATGGAGCAAGAGCTTAACAAGCCATGAAGCTATGTAACCAGACGCTCCGGTTACACACACAACCTTCTCTGCTGCTGCACTCATCTCAAGTTCCAATGCTGAAGCGGAAGCTCTTCACAGAATCTGTAGCCGAGTTACGACTTTTTCGGATTTACAATGGATAGAATCTGGATTATTAGATTACAAAACAGCCGTTATGATTCCCTATTTTTCTACTTGTATTTTAACTTTACAGTTAGTTTATTGCTTCTATGAATTTGATAGCTTAATAATTGGCAAAGATTATTGAATGTACAATCTGTTTTTCTTACACATGCTATTCTTTAATTTAATGATATGAAATAGTATTTTTATTTTAAAAATCATTAATAAAATTATTATTATGAATAAAACATTAAATTTTTTTTTTTTAAAATGTCTTTTAGCAAAATCCTTTTTATAAAGTCATTAATCAGCATATTAATAATTTTAAATTTTAATTTTGAAATCCATAAAGTTAGGTGAATGTCCATTGTTGTCAAAATAAAATACTATGTCCTTAATTTTAATTATTAGAATTCAAATCTTGGTATTGAACAATTCAAAATAACTTTAAATTGATCGTTTCTTTCTATTTGTTCTTTCGAGAAACTAACCAAAGTACCAATCCAAAGGCTTTAAGTCAACTTGAAAATTCAACTTTTTTTTTGTCTTTTTCTTTCAATTAGATTCAGCGATTAAAAATTTTAATCATGCATGAGCTTACATTTTGTCTTTTTTTTTTTACTTGGAATCTATCACTTAGTCTTTACCAAACAAATTATTTAATGAAAAATTTTAACGCCAACTTGCAAGACAAATATTTAATTTACACTTGCATTTAATTAATTAATTTGATGATGTGATGTCGAAGATATATATCAACAGTAATCAAGACTTTGCCCTAAAACTTCGACTAAATTAGATAAGAAATAGAGTACGATTTTGTAAGCACTAGATTTAGCACAGAGCTCATTGGTGGAACAAAAGCATCTGTCTTTATTTGGGTTCAAGAACAATGTTTTTGACAAGAGTAAATGAAAAATAAACAACATCTTTTCTAACATGGAGGCCCAAAGAAACCTCAACTTGAAACACCCTTGCTTAGAATACAAGTTAACTGACATGTGATGCAATATGTATGCATATAGAAACAACAACATGCTTATTTTGACAACAAATTAAACATTCAGACTTCAGATGGATAGGAAACCCTTCTCCTTCAAGCTTTCGACAGAGTCCCTCAGACTCACCTCCAAAGGAATGAAGCTGATTCCCAAACCTTTTGCTTTCTCCTTGGATATTTGGCATGTACCCTCCGGAGGCTTCTTATAATCTTCACACCTGTCATAATGATTTATGAATGAACCAAAAAAAAAAAAAAAAAGAACATAACTCTTCTCAGAATTATTAATTAATAATCCATCAGACATTTTTTATTGGATAAGAGTAGTAAATTCCTGATCATCATACTTTATATGTTACTGCTTTTTTTTTTTTTTTTGCCTTAAAAGTATCAATCATGATGTAACTGAGTCACACATCAAAATAAGTCAGATATATACTTGCATTTCCTATTGAGTGATGTAATAAATACATCAGGACTCGGTAGCTTACTTTTCATTAACGTGCAATGTAGGGTAAAGTTCACACATGATCTTCAGAATCTCAGGAAATTGTATAACTCTTCCCCAACAGGCAATAACTGCCACTAGCTGAAGGAACCTCCAATGCTTGAATATGTGCATACGCAACATCTCGAACATCAACAACTCTGTATGTTGGATCAGGGATAACGTCTTTTCCTGGATAAAAAAAAAAAAAATCATTTCAACTGTTTGTTCCACAGAAATATAATATAGCACAGAATAATCCTTGGAAGGATCTAGCGGCAATTGCAGATTCGATTCAATTGGCTGGTTTAGCATTGTTCATGCTCTACGTCATCTAGAGTTGGGAAATTTTGTTGTCAGTAAATTTTACTGGAATTAGTAAATATAAATTGCAAATTGCTACAAACACAGTTTTGTTTGGGAAAGGACTACCACTACGTTTTTGACCTGGTGTTTCAGGTATGGCTTGGATAATCTGTCACATGTTTCCTCGACTTGTAAAATATAATATAAGCTAGGACAAGTTGTTTCTCACTATATGTTCCCTTCTTGCATGAACCAAAAAAATAAGATGAAAGATGTAAGTAATCTTTTTGTTTAAAAGAAAATTAACTTCTGCATAAACAAAATCTATATGCATCATTGATCATACTCAATATGTGCGGAAAAAGTACCTTTTGCGAGGTTTAGAATCACCAATGGTGACGAATTCGGAGCTGGCTGTAAAATAGGACCAAACACAAGCCCTGGATTTATTGTAACCAAATCGATTCCATTATCTTTTGCAAACCTCCAAGCAGCCTCCTCAGCTAAGTTTTTCGAAAGCGTATACCATTTCTGGGAAGAACCAAGATTTATACTTGAGCAATATCATTAATTTCCTAAAACGACACCCATGCTTATCACTTTTAGTTTACCATAAAGTAAATCATATCTC